TGTGTGTGTGTGTGTGTGTGTGTGTGTGTGTGTGTGTGTGTGTGTGTGTGTGTGTGTGTGTCCTACCTTTTCCAATCGAGTCTCCAGTTCAATCACATCGTTCTGGACCACCTCGATCTCCGCTCTGAAAAAAGAAAAAGTCACTTAACGACTCACTTATTACATTTTTTATTATACTGAAGTTATTAGTTAAAAATAAAATATTTTTATGTGAAATATAAGACAGTTTATCGTGTGAATAACACAAACATGAATACAAACTGAGGACTAAGTTTTGCTGGTTGTTAAATAAATAGCAGCTCATTAAGAGTAAACCAGGCAGTTGTGATATTTGTGTGAAACAGTGACTTGGGCCTGCTGTTACACCCTGACTGTTATTTTATGTTGCAGCTTTAATTTTGTATCATTTAAAAAGCAAACGGAGGCAGACAGCTGAAACATCCTCATGTTGGATTAGCTAAAAGTTAGAAGTACAACAATAGATAAAAGCACAAATAACCAAATACTAGGTCTACGTAGCAAAAAATAGCTAGAAGCTAATAGCAGCAAAGGGCTAGGTAAAAGTTTAAAATACAAAAGTATCTAAAAGCAATTAGTAGAGAAAGAATAGCTAAAAGCTACTAGTAGCTAAATGCAAGTAAAAGTTAAAAGTATGATAGTATCTTAAAGCAAAAAGTAACAAACTGCTAGCTAAAAAATTAAAAGTACAACAGCAGCTGAAAACAATAATGAATAGTGAAAAGTGGTGAAACACTAGCTAAATGCTAGCCTGGTAAAAACCAGACCCTGTCCTTCACTTTGCTTCGTACAAGAGTCTGGACTCGCTGCTATTGAGAGTCGATTTCTTGCAGGAGGCATGGCCTCTGCTGAAGTGTGTGTGTGTCATTGTGAAGGAGGCTAAGCTAAGAAGCTAACCGGAAATCGCATGCGCTGTAAACAACCCTACTGAGAGGAGARAAKTACYGAGCCGAACGAGACGGCTGTAAATGAGAGCTGCTGCTTTGTCAGACATATTTATTTTAATTTGGAAGCCCTATCAACACAGACTGGCTTCATTCACTTCCTCCACTGCCGTATGCTAAAATAACTAGCAGACACTGCGCAGAAAATCGACGTCATTCAAAGCTCCTCCTTCTGTTCTCTGATTGGCCCGGCTAAAAATCTGCCAGTGAAATCCATCTCAATGGGAGAAGTCCCAGACGGAGCAGAGAAGGGAAGCTAGAATTGAGCGGAGCTGCGTAGGAAGGCAAGGGCCAGGCTAGCTAAATGCTAAAAGTAGCAGAACCACAGCTAAATGCAGCATAAAGGAAGTTTGCTGAAGCAGAATTCAGAGAGCAACGTTTTGAAATAATTGAACAGATGAATGTTTTATATATGAAAAGCTAAAATAAATTGTGTTGAAGTAGATTACAAAAGTAAAATAGTTAGGAAAAACAGTGTTCACACTAATTTATGTTTCAATAATAGAAAATGAGGTCAAAATGAAAAAAAACTTTATAAAAGAACTAAAGTGTCAGAATCTCATAGGTTTCAGTTAAATGTTTCACATTTTATTCACTAATTTGATAAAACTCTCATTTTTTTCCTGAGTAAGTACACGGAGAACATGCAATGTTTCTAATGATGTCATATAAAAAAAAATGAATGCAAACTAATAAAGCTGTTATTTTAGGCCTCTGGCACGTCTCCATACTCACTTCAGAGTAATTCAGCATGACGTCTTTGTTATGTTTAGAAACCTTACAACCTTCAACAGAATTTAAAACATTCCTCTGGGTTTGAGCAAAGCTTTGGGATGCAGTCACATTTGTGGAGATGTTTAGTTTTAATGTTTTTGGGTCTAGATTTGAAACATTTCTAACGTGCATAATGTAGAGCGTGGCTGTTTTTAGGTCGGGGTTTTTGTTGGTGCCTGTTGTCTCAGCAGCAGCTCAGCCATGTGGTTTCCGCCGCCTTCCACCGACAGTACAGACAGAAAACTGTCAAACCATGAGGCAGAGAGCAGGAGAGGACAGGGCCACAGGAGCTGTTTGTGATTCAGAGTCTGAGGTCACGTCCTTCTGAAACACCAACAGATAAGTCGAGCGATGGAAAGGAGGAAAGGAGGAAAGGAGACGACCGAGGGGATGATTTCTCTCAGTCCGAGCGAGGGAACAAATTAAGTCGGCGCTAAAGTCGAGTTTCCGCCGCGGTTCTCCCCACAGAAAACACACTTCCTGTCTCCTGTTGATCACCTCGGCACATCTCGCCTCACTTCCTGCTGCCCTCCCACCACACCGTTACCCAGCAACAAGAAGCAGCACATCTGAGGGGTTGACCAAAGTTGGTA